TAGTTCATTTTCCTTTGCTTCTATTCTAAATTTGTTATAACTGATCCATACGCCGTGGTATTTGAAATGTTTGTATAGGTTGAATAAAACCGGTGATAAGACACACGTTTGTCATATGTTTCTTTTAAGTTTTGGGAATAACGACATATAATGAATAAGACTGTTTCTGGGTGCGATTGTGTGTATAAGCGTATGTCTGTGAAAGGGAGAGGCAGTGAATGCTGTTAAAATGTCGAAGAGAATAAAGTATTATGACTTCATAAACTTCATGTTGTTTCAGCTTGAAGCTAATTCATAAAAGTCACCGCGTTCATACGTTTAGAAATTAGCATCTCTACCTGCCAACATATTTATGTAACAATTTAAGACGTCTGGTATACAACGTAATTTTGACATACATACACAAGTAAACATACAATATATATATATATATATATATATATATATATATATATATGATTAATGTATATTAGGGCAGTATTGTTTCTATTAAACATCTTTCGTTAAATATGACGCATAGAGAAAATGTTATAATTTTTTTCATTTTGTTTTTCCAGCGCTCTAACATTTTTTCCATTTGGTGTCAGTGAAGGAGTACAAAGATTGTCCATAAAGTCCATTGTTCCAAGCGCTTTCGGCCACTTCATTAGCCATTTTCAATGGGGTTTTGTTTTAGTGTTGTTAGCTCTACTTCATGTTTTGATTATTTGAGATATATTTTTGTGTTGTTTTGAATAATAGTAGAGGCGTTTATTCCAAGACTTCGAACGAATGTTGAGCGCGGCTACAACTAGAGTGAGCAGCTTTCTATTTCTCAACACGTCAATCCCATTATTAAAAAATGGGTGAGAGAGTGGGAGAGAGTTCAATATATATATATATATATATATATATATATATATATATATATATATATATATATATATATATATATATATATATATATATATAGAAACAGAAAAAGTGTGTAGCTTAATATTACTAGATATTTTAAAAGCGAAGCAACCGGTTTCGCTCCCGCTCTTCAGGCCTCTACGGGAGATTTAACTTAAATTATAACAACAGAAAAATGTGTAATAAGAAGGAGAAGGGAAAATATTGAACACAAAGAGCTAGAGACAAATAACAACGAGCCCCAACAAACATTCACGCTGTTTACACAGGGAAGGCTTGCGGGACTTGATATAAAGTGCCTCCAGCACCTTGAGATGAAATAACGAGTGCGACCGGGACAGAACAGCAAACCAGTCAGCACTAAAATTAGCCGCACACCCTCTTTTATTTAAAAGGTGCTATCTCTCTCTCTCTCTCTCTCTTTCTCTCTCTCTCTCACACACACACACACACATATATATATATATATATATATAAACAAAAATGGCACAAAAGTATTACAACATTTTCTTTTGAAAATTTTGGGTTTTATAATTTGTCATCAGTTACTTGTCATATCTATCTCTCTCTCTCTCTCTCTCTCTCTCTCTCTATATATATATATATATATATATATATATATATATACAGTGCTGTTCGATAAAAGTGACTCACCTGATTTATTTTACGAAAAATATTTTTTGTCTATTGTTTTTGGGTTTAGAATAATTTTTAATCTTACTAATATAAAGACCCCTTCCCGACCACCTAGGAAAAAATTTTATTCACCCTAAGGTATTCTATTGATAATTATAAATTTGGATATAAATGAGATTCAGGAAAAAACTGTACAAAAAAAGTAACTCAGATATCGCATTCTAATGATTAAACTGGTAAATTTAAAGAGCTTTTGACAAAATATTGAAAACTATTTTACAACACACTCAGAACAATATTCTAGAGAATTCTAGAACAGCTTAAATTAAATCTAGAGTATTCCAGAATATTCCAGAATGCCTCATATAGTATAAAAACAGCTTGAAATAGCCATTCAATCACTAACCAGATGAAGGAGTACAAACATGCATCAGAACCACCTAAGGTATCTATTATTGCCCTCTCAAAATTAGGCAAGTCTATGAGAGAAATTGCAGAAATTGCTATAACCTCGCAATCAACTGTCTCTCGAGTGCCAAGGAAGGAAACAAGGATACGAAAGAAAAAGATTGATGATAGAACTGGCAGGGTAATCAAGAGAGAAGTTGGAAAGAATAGGACTATAACTAGCCAAGAAATTGCAGCCAGTCTAAACGAAGAGCAAGGTGTTAGTCTTGCCTCTTCAACAGTCTGTCAGAACAAGGTTACAATTCGTGTTAGAACAAGGCTACAAATCTTGTACACGAAGGTTTAAGCCGCTAATAGGCAAAGCCAAGAGACTTGAATGGGCTCACTATTACAAAAATTTCACCGTAGAAGAATGTTCTCTTCTCCGATGAAACGAAAGTTGAGCTAAATTCAAAGGATAAGGTGAGTCACTTTTATCGAACAGCACTGTATATATATATATATATTTTTTTTCCAATTGTCATTTGATACCAATCTGTCTTGTCCACAGAATTTATCTGGGAATTTAACTATATTGTCGACATGGAAAAAAAAAAAAACCTTACTATAAAAGTAACTTACATTAACCAGAAAAAAAGGCTGAGACAGAAGCGTCTATCTTTTTAAATTTGGATTTTTTAATGTAACTATAACAACAAAAACATTTCGATTTCATTTTTGCCTTGAAAAAGTCGGAAGACGAAACGCGTCGGCAAAATGTAAGATTTTTTCCAATTGTCATTGGATACCAATCTGTCTTGTCCACAGAATTTATCTGGGAATTTAACTATATATATATATATATATATATATATTCACACAAAGACACCCACACACATCCACACATACATATTGTGTATATTTAGGCATCATATTATCATTGAAACAGGTTTGGCTAAATAATTTAGACATATCATGTCCATTAGTTTACGTCAAGATCCTTTCAAGTTCACGGATAAATTTCTTGGTATCCCGAGAAAATTGATCAAGAAAAATACTAAAATTTTCTTGTCTTTGAAAAATTGAAAGAAAATTTAGGTATTTTTAAAAAATATCTGTTTGAATATATATATATATATATATATATATATATATATATATGCATGTGTCCATGTACAAGTATTATCCTTCTTGTTCTATGTGCTGTGTACTTTCAGGACGTGGGTGATTATATCTCTATATAATATACCTGTAGCTCTTAGTAAGACTTTTCTCTTCACCATCCCTCCTGTTCTGTCATCCGTTCACACAAACTTGATAGGTAGAATACTCTTTGTTTTCCTTTGTCTCTCTACCGTTCAATATGTCCTGTGAGTACAAAATTTTCCAAGCCTTCTTTTCTCATTATTGGTTTGAGGAATACCAACTCTCACTTTGTGATTCTAAGTATGGATATCGGTTACATTTCATTTAAAACATCGTCATTGCTCACAGGTTCAGTCCACGATTTTCTCAGCATCCTTCTATAGAACCACATTTCTCTTGTTTTAAATCTCTACTTCATCAGTAAGGAGACTGTTTATAATTTTTTTCTATGTTTTTTTTCGCGTTATTTGCTTGTTCCTTAATACTTTGCTTAGCATGTACAAGTATAGAGTCAGATACAATTTCATACTTTACATCCGCATTTGTAATGTTGTTTTTAAATTTTTTTCTACTTATACGCAAGAACGTCACAATATGTATGTTTCAGCCATTAACCAAACACAGCTAGTGAATTTCATACGAAAGATATTCATGTATATAAGAAAATATATATTAAAAGCAATACAAAAATACAGATAAAGATTTACCACAAAAATTTGTCCACATACATGTACATATAAGTACTGTTCTATTTTCTATTTTCATATACCCATACATTTACATGTTTGTTTTTATATATATATATTTATATATATATATATATATATATATATATATATATATATATATATATATATATTTGTGTGTTTTCATAAACGTAAATATGTATGTGTGCGTGTATGTATGTGTTTGTTTTATATATATATATATATATATTTATAAGTTTGTGTATATATATATATTTATAAGTTTATATATATATATATATATATATATATATATATGTGCTTGTGTGTGTTTTCATAAACGTAAATATGTATGTGTGCGTGTATGTATATTTGGTTTCTGTTTGTAAGAGTTGATTCGAAGAATCGCCATTGGGTTTTTACGCTACGCGCATTGATCCCGTGCCTAACCGGATTGAAGCTATTCTTCGACTTTTTGTTTTCCCATCGACTTTTAGACAACCAGATTTTATTCAACAGCAAAGCCGTTGAATTGTTGAAGAAGAAAATAAGGCGGGATTAAACGAAGGTATAAAAATAAAGAAAAAAGTGATGATAATAATAATAATAATAATAATAATGAAAAAAAGAAGAAAAATAGCGGCACCTCGTGTCGAAGGTGTGAGCATTTGAATGGCTGAAACATCGACTTGAGTGGGGAATGCCTTTTGGCTTGAGCGACGGGATTTTGCTACACGAAGCGCGAAATGAAGATGACAAGAAGTATTGGAAAATCAGCGCCCGAGGAGAGTCGAGATAGAATGAGTTCTTTTCGATCTATCTATCTATCTATCTATCTATCTATCTATCTATCTATCTATCTATCTATCTAAGGGATATGTGTGTAGCGCAAAAGCTTTTCTGTAGACAGTGGAATTAGCAAGCCAAGTTAAAATTCCCGCCTCGTTTATACTGAACAATTGTAAAAATATAATACACAAGCAGCGTGCCGAATTAAGTTTTCTGATTCAGTTTCGTTCAATTCCCTTGGAAAAGGCATGAATCCATTTCTCCCCAGCTAGGAGTTAAATAACAGGGTAGACTGGGCTCTCCTGCTTTAAAGTTGCAACCAATCTGAGAAAGAAAATACTGCATTCAAAAACTAACTTGGAATGGGATGGTTTATGTAGCCGTAGATACATCACTGTCGTTATGGCTGCAGTAAATAGAGTAGAAGACTTAATGAAGATCTTATTTGTATAAAATGTTGGAATGTACTGTAATTTTGATAGTAGTTTCTTTCTTTCTTTCTTTCTTTCTTTCTTTGTGTGTTTCTTTCTTTCTTTCTTTCTTTCTTTGTGTGTTTCTTTCTTTCTTTCTTTCTTTCTTTGTGTGTTTCTTTCTTTCTTTGTGTGTTTCTTGTATATACACAGATAAGTGTGGACATACATGTATAGATTTGGGTACTTCGTCATGATGTAATGGTTAGTAAACTTATTTCGCTCGATCAATTACGACTGAATAATGAGTTCGATCCTCACTGGGTGCCCCATACTTCCGGTATTATTCCACATCTAAGCTAAGCTTAGAAAATCATGTTTTGGCATTCGACGTAGTGTAATGGTTAGCAAGCTTGTCTCGCTAGATCGATTATGACTGAATAGTGAGTTCGATCCTCACAGGGTGTCCCATACTGCCGGCTTTGTGCCACATCTTAACTACGCTTAGAGAATCACTGGTCTTATTTCTAATTGATGGGAAGCTGCTCTTATTTTCCAGGATTCAGGAGAAAGTAAAGGCATTTTCTTTTCGATTACAAAATTTTATTTGGCATTTCGGATTTCTCGATTTTACATTTTGAGGTAAATTGATGTAGAACGCAATAAAAAACCCTGATGTGTATAATTTGAAAAATTAAATAAAACATTAATAAATTAGTTAACATACATATTCCCAATTTTCAATATATATTTTTTATATATTTTCCCATCAGAGCAACGTACTTTACCACGGACCCTAAAAAAATATCATAATCGATTATTGATTACTTAAGAGTTGAGAAGCGGAAAAACCGATTGATTTCTTCATAAAGACTCCATGATGGTGATGGTGAAGGCAATTATCACAAACGACACTTGTCCGTCTTTTCGTATTTTTTATTGGATTCTTATTAATTGATTTTTTTATATTTTATATTGCCGCTTCGGATAACTGAACACGTTGCCAAGGAATAATCACTAGAGCGTGACAGTTGGCCAGATTCCAATGAATTTGTTTGTAGATGAACTTATTAAATCCACAGGCTTTCAAATAATTTTCTTCTCTTCACTCTTCTTCCTTTGTGTCGGTCGGATCCGTTTTCATACCCACCGATAGGTTTGAAATAGTTTTGGGGGTTGTTCATATTTTTATTCAATTAAGATTTTTTCATTTTTTTTTTTTTAATTTAAAACGAAATATTCATTTTTCTTTCTGACACGTTCAGCTGGATTTTGTCTCGCCCACTCTTTCTTCTCCTGATATATCTCTCACTATCACCATCTGTTATTTTCTCTCTTGGTCCCGTCTGTATTTTATCTCTATATAACTTTATTCTTTCCTCTCCTGATACATCTCCCTACCGTTATCTGTTTTTCCTCTCTTGTTCCCCTCTGTATTTTCTCCTTCTCTATTTTTATTCTTTCCTCTCCTGATACACCCCTTACTATCACTCTACGTTTTCCTCTCTTGATTCCTTCTATATTTTCTCTCTATATATTTTTATTCTTTCCTCTCCTGATCCACTCGGCTACTCCCTCTCTCTCTCTCTCTCACTATTCTGATCCTCTCTCTAGTTTTTTTTTCTCTCTCTTCCGTCATAGTTTCTTTTTTTTTTTCTATATTCTTCTTCACCTGATTCCACCCACAAATCTGTCTCATTATTTTCTCTCCCAATGCTTCTCTCTACTCTCTTTCTCTCTCTATTCGTTTCTCTTCTGATCCCCCTCTTTAGCCTTTCTTTGTCTATTCTTTTTTTTCTTATCACCTCTGCGTTCAAGTGTTTATTCCATTATTCTTTTATTTCGATTATCTCTGATTTGTTTTTTTTCTTTCTTGATCCTCTTCTCTACTCTCTCTTTTCCCTTTCTCCGCTGACGACCTCCCTCTCTACTTTGTCATATTCTCTATTCTTTTTCTCCCTCTTTACTCTCTTTCGCTCTTTTCTTTACTGGCATCCGTCTGGTACTATTTCTTCCTAGATTTCTCTCTCTCTCTCTCTCTCTCTCTCTCTCTCTGTCTCTTTATTTTTACGCACATCCTCATTTCATTTCTATTTTTTCTATTTTTCTTTTCTTCCATAACTTACCATTTCTCTCTCTCTCTCTCTCTCTCTCTCCTTCTCTATTGCACGCCAATATTTTTTCTGTGATCATAGCCGTTGAACTATGTTAACACCAGCCGATAAACTTGATGGCCTTTGAGGCACCTCGAGGCGGTGTAAGCTTGTCTCGCTAGAACAATTACGACTGAGTAGTGAGTTCGATCCTCACTGGGTGTTCCCTACTTTCGGCCTTGTGCCAAATCAAAGCTACGCTTGAAAAATCACTTTGGGCATCTCGAAGCGGTGTAATGGTTAGCAAGCTTGTCTCACTAGAACAATTGTGACTGAGTAGTAAGTTCGATCCTCACTGGGTGTCCCCAACTTTCGGCTTTGTACTAAATCTAAGCTACGCTTGGAAAATCCTTGGGAACGGTGCGCCAAACCGTTCATTACGGTCATTCTCTTTGCTTCGGCAGAGAGGAACCCGGACGAGTCTTTGCCGAAGGGAAAAGTTTCGTCCGGGGAGGTAGACAGGCCCTGAACCCGTTTATACGGGTTCGAAGGGAATATTTTTAGCCGAGCCTATGGGCTCGGAGAACCCACGATAAACTCGGCCATGTGGGGGTGGGCGGCCGTTAAATATAGCTGTGTTATGGTTAGCAAGCTTGTCCAGCACGATCACAGAAGTTAAGCAACGTCGATCCGGATCAATACTTAAGAGGGTGACCGTTTGGGAATACCATGTAATGGGAGTTTGGATGTGAAGGTCCGTCTATTACTTATCGAGACATTAAGAAACTAGTTTGAATTTATCACATTGCTACTATTTTTCGTATGACGATGAAGTTTCTCATTTCTTTTTCTTGCCCCAAATTAATTTTTTGTTACATTGCCAAACTCCTGAACCATATTTATTCAATGGCGGATCATTCTTCGAACTTGAAACTTCGCGTCTTTACTTACAAATGAATTCCAGCTGAAAGACACTTATAATTAGCAGCAGAAAGAGACAGGTGAAAATTCTAAATCACATAATGAGGAAAGGGGGCTTGGAAAATGTGATACTCACAGAATATATTGAAGGAATGGGAGACAGAGGAAAGCACCTACTGAACGAGCTTGTGGAAACAGATGGCAGAGCAAGAATTAGGCGAGATAACAAAAAGACAAAATTTATTAAGATCTACAAAGAACAGGAAATTATGTAGAGCCATGATCTCCAGGCTCTTGAAGAGACACAGGACATAAAATAAGAAGAAATGACAGCGACATCAACGCAAGAAGCATTTCCAGACATGGAAAGTGCGGCGTTAGATTCTTTCCAGATCGATAATGACATCGAATCACTATGTCACAATAAAAAACGTGCTTGTAAATCAGGACATCTCTTTAAAAGTTGGTCTTTCTTGGAATATAAGATACCCACAGCAAAATAAATGACACGTCCGGTTATTAAGTGATCGTTTATGAGATCTTGAGCAAACTTTTTCTTTGCTGAACATTAGAAGCCAACAAGATTAATTGTTTTTTTTTCTACAGCTTATCAAACCTTTGGAGGTTATTTAAAGCCAGAAAATATTTTAAGATTGTAAGAATTTTATGGAGATAATATTGATTTACTGATCCAAGTCCTGCTAATTAACCTGTAGCTGGTGTTAGAAGAGGTGGATTCATGCCTTTCCCAAGGATATTTCCGTGTTACTGAATATAACGAACCCGACTGAAATTGGAACTCGGTTTTTCCGATTTCCTATTCAAGGTCGTTATCCATTAGACTATCAACATATCCAAACTCCATAGCTTATTTCTGTCGAACTATGTTTCTATTGATTGAATTTACTTCTTATTTTGTAAGGAGATTGGCTCGCATTTACTGTCATAGAGGACGACCGTTATTATGTAATAGTTCAGTAATCTTTTCGTTGTCGTTAACAACGTTTTCCTGTTCCTTTACACAGTACTCGTTTCTTTGTCGTTAACAATGTTTTCCAGTTTCTTTATACAGTAAAATTTTCTTTGTTGTTAACAACGTTTTCTTGCTTCTTTATACAATTTTCTTTTCTTTGTTGTTAACAAAATTTTCCTGTTTCTTTATACAGTACTGTTTTCTTTGTCATTAACAGCGTTTTCCTATTTCTTCATACAGTAGTTTTTTCTTTGTCGTTAACAACGTTTTCCTGTGTCTTTATACTTTGCTTAGTTGTTAAAAGGCTTTTTCGCTATCCCGATGCTCCTTATTATTTCGGTGTTGCATGTTCCTTCCTCTGTTAAAACACTTCCTATATATTTAATTTTTTCCCTTGTTTGATTTTGATGTCCCCAATTTGTACTTCGCAAACTGGGCTGTTGACAACCACACATTCAACCAATCTTCTTACAATTTGAGTTTAGTCCTTTCTTCTCTACCTTCTGGAGGAGTTCCCTGTCGGTGTCTCTGCTATCAACACAGTGTGATCTGAAAATTTAATGTCGTTAATAATATACAAATCCTGGTAGGTTTTCTAATTTTCTCAAGTGTGCTTGACGGCACAGGTCGGTGAGAAAATTCGTTAAATGTTTGTCGCCCTATTCTTCTTCTGTGTATTTACTAAATTCATCTTCTACCCATATGCAGGCGGTTTTCTTCCAGATTATTCTAATATCCTTCTCAAAAAGTCGAATTCCTGACAAATTGCACATAGTGAGAATCGAACCCGGGACAAATGGTTGAAAAACGAATGATCTTACCACTCAGCCACGCGCAAAGAACGCAAATGTTATTTAAAAAGAGCATATATAAATGCTCGATATGTGCTTTTAATTTTGATAGTTGCAGACGAAACCACCTCCATCTGACTTCAATTCTAAATTGTGTTGTACGAATATTATGAAAATGTATGAGATTTGCTTGATCGCCGATTAAATAGGCTGCAAATGCTCAGCGAACTCAGCAGCAAAACAATGTTTATGCAAATAATTACAGAGTTTAGCTTTGTCTGGCAAAAAGCCACAATACTAAGACAAATGCATAGAATTGAATTCTTGGCATTTGCTACTACGCGGTGGGTGACCCCTATTTATGGGAAATAATTTATTTGTTACTAGCATTTGGCATAGAATAGCTTATATCTATGCGCTAATATCTAGATCACTTCATATCTATCTATCTATCTATCTATCTATCTATCTATCTATCTATCTATCTATCTATCTATCTATCTATCTATCTATCTATCTATCTATCTATCTAAGACTACTGGTATTTACCTATCATTTGTTAAAACTTACGGAACCAGTTTGAATCTTTGACCTTGTTACAATTTTTGCTATGACGATGAAGTTTCGCATTTCTTTTTCTTGGCTCCGAATTAATTTTTTGTCACATTGCCAAACTTCTGAACGGTATTGATAAAATGGCGGATAATTCTCCGAACGTGAAACTTTACGTCTTTTCTTAGCAGCTGCAAGACATGTGTTATTTCGCACCTAGAATTTATAAATGATGTTAAACCGAAGAAAAAATGTTTGCAAAGTTCAGACTGCATGCTTTGAAGTCGAATTGGGTCTTCTGTTATGTATGATGTGCTTTCAGAACGTAGGCGATTATGGCTCTCCACAACTCTGTTTTGCGGTACTTAGTATCTCTTGCCCTTTTACAAGACATATTTAACACTGAAGACCTTATAAAGTGAATTATTCACTGCGCCTATTGCTTCTCTTACCTTTAGTATATCTTATGAATGTCTAACGAAAAAACGTTTAAAAAATTTTATGAATATTAATATAACATTTTGGTCTCTATAACTCGATGTAATGTTTCTAACAATGATTTAATTTTTGATCAAGTGTCTTTTAATAGGAATTTGCATGTCGTGAAGAGTTTGAGGTTCCTAACGAGAAATCGACGAGGCGTGTTCGAATTCTAGTCGACGACTTTATAGTCAATAAATACTCTTCGGAAATTCATCTCATTCCCCAGTTATGGGTTCAATAGGAAAGCAGTTTAAGAGACTTCTGATAAAGAAAATGGGCTTGGAGAATTTGGCACTCACAGGGCATACAGAAAACAAGAGGAACAGAGGAAAGCCGTACCTAATCTAACAGACTTGTGCAAATAGAACAAAGACTGAGAGAGATAGCAAAAAGATAAATTTTAAAGAGTTAAATTGCACAGAAAGTTATAGAGAGCCGTAATCGCCCCCCCCCCCTAAAGGGGCCCGGCACATAGAAGAAGAATGATGCAACTACTCTTCTTTTTTTAATTTGTTGCAATCTGTAAGAAGAAATATATTAAAGATTATATTTATTCTGTATTTTTATCTGTCTATATCTCTGAGATGAGGTATTATGATTACTTGCATTATTTACACTATTCGGATTGTTATCATCTTCATTGCTATATTCACAGCGTTTCGGCCGTTGCAGGCCCTGGCCTTCTTCAGTTGAATGGAATTTCGAATAGAACTCTTTATTTCGTACACCGAGATAGATTGTTCTAGTTGCACGTGCCATGCCTCTTCTGGATGTCTCAGTTATTTCCCTTTAACTCAACTCTCCAACTTTTTTGATTCACCAATGCTATGGCCTGGTATTGAACTCATAACTCTTTGGGTGTAGTCACTGGATCTAACCGACGTCTTTATCCACTGAGCCATGCAAGTAATCATAATACCTCATCTCAGAGATTCAATCACCTGAAGAAGGCCGGAGTGTACAACGGCCGAAACGTTGTGAATATGGCAATAAAGATGAGGATAACAGTTTGAATAATGTAAATAATACAAGTAATTATAATACCTCGTTTCAGAGAGCCAATCCCCTGAAGAAGGCCGGAGCGTATAACGGCTGAAACGTTGTGAATATGGTAATAAAGATGAAGATATCAGTCTCCGAATAATGTAAATAATGCTGTATTTTTTATATTGGAAATATTTTAACTGGTCAGAGCCAGGCATATCTTTCAGAATTCGAATAAAATAAAGAAAAAAATGTTAGAATTATATTGCTTCGTATATTTAGACTAATTATTTTAATATTTCTTTGTAATGTGTCTTTGAATGGTAATTGTTCTGGTGAATTTAACCGTTTCCAACATTCTGCTAAACAGTTAAAAATTGTTTATTTTTACTTATTAAAACAGCTTTTTAGGAATTTTTTACGGTTTGTCAACCGTTTGTCGGTTACTTAAAACAGAATAAGAGGTTTCTTACAGTACCCAGTATTACTAAGCGATTCTCTGTTTAAGTTTTGATCAGACTAGACGCTCCGTAACTTCGGTGATCGAATCAGAACCGGTGTTTTCTGTGCAGCTTTTCAGGAAATTAGACCCATCAAGTCCACTAACTGTTATTGCTCTTGCTAGTAGTGAAGGGAGTTTTCGTGTCAATTTTTCTTGTTTTGGTGGCGTGGAAAGTTAACAGCTTGTTTATATCATTATTTTTTATTTTAGTTACATGTGCTTGACATTTTTTGCTGTTGCTTTGAAAAGTGTTCAAGTGATGTACTTTTTGTTATTTACTGAATCGGTTTGTGATTTTGTAGTGCTAATTAACAGGATCCGATTTAGGCTCGTTTTCTTGTTTTCTATGAGTGGATTCGTTTGCTTTAAGATGGAGTATATTTAAATAATATATACCCATTTCTGTGCTTGTAATATGATCTTAGATGAGTCTAATATATATATATATATATATATATATATATATATATATATATATATATATACGTGAACATTGAAGTCAACATTCAGAGGTGACAGGCTGTTTCATGCTAGACGCATATCGCCTCTGAGTGTTGATTTCAATGTTCACTATATTTACATACGCTCTATGATATTGTGCACTTTATTCCATAAATATAGCACATCTTAAAACTATATTTCTTCATTCATTAATTCATTCATTTATATATATATATATATATATATATATATATATATATATATATGTGTGTGTGTGTGTGTGCAGATATGTATAAAAATAAGAAAGAACACGTTAGGTAAATAATTATTTTTTAAAAATATGACTTCTTTGCTACATAAGAGTTCTTATGTTTCCTAAATTTTCGCTTGAGGATGAAACAGGGCTTGATACTTTAATTCAATTTAATTTTAATAATTATATTGAGGTTTTCGGCTCTTGTTTTTGAAACATGAGAACTCTTATGTAGCGAAGGAATCATATTTTAAAATAATCATAATAATAATAATAATAATAATAATAATATATATATATATATATATATATATATATATATATATATATATATATATATATATATATATATATATTACATTCCTTGTGCGCTAATACCTTTAGGAAAGGTATTAATACTCTTCTCTCTCCAGCTAAGGGTAAATAGCAGGACAGGCTGGGTTCTATAGACTTGGGTGGTAATTGGTTCAGGAGAAAGACAATTCTGAATTCAAAACCTGTGGAGGGTTGGTTGCACCAGGTCTCTGTATTCGACCCTTCAAAATGTGTGGTTGGTTCTGCACAAATCCTTCACTAATATAATCAAATCAGATGTGCTGGTGTCTGGGCTGTCGGTTCCTAGAAACTGAGCTTCTTAACCCTCATACGTTGAATACGACGGAAGAGTCCTCCATATATATATATATATATATATATATATATATATATATATATATATATATATACGCACTATCGCCATGAGGCCGCCCGTAGTATTTTTTTTTAAATTGGCCCCAAAAGTAGTTGTTTTGTACTTTAAATAAGAGAAAATTATCATATATAGTTAAAAAATATCAGACATTATTCTTTATTAGAAATTTTATTATGACAAAAAGAAAAAAAAGCGTTTTATGATTAAATTTTTCTCTCGTCAAACTATCCTCCTTTAGCCTTGAATGCTGCAGCACAAAATTTTGGCATTCGTTGTAAAAGTTTCTCCAAGTCTAAGTTTGATAATTGATTCCATTCTTTTTTCAATAACTCTAGGGCGTTCTTTTTCTTTTCTTTTTTAAACTCATTTGTGAAGTTCATCCCATGCCACTTCTGGGGGTGGTTTCAAACTTTGAATTGTAGTTTTTATAGGATGGTAAGTAAAAAATCATCTGCACTTTCGCCATAACATAAGATTTGTCACACTGCATTATGTTCGTGTGTTCGTCTCGTTGGTATTGTTGTAGTCACGTGATCGAAATTTGAACTTGATCACACCAGTTTTATTGCTGCTATTACAGTGTAAACATCACCGCTCCGTTAGCAGTGTTCACCAAGGAGGAACAAAGAGTAGTGATCCGATTTCTCTGGTCAGAATGTGTGTCAGGGACTGAAATTCATTAGGGGCTTTTAGCACGATACGGCGACAATGCACTACAAATGTATATGGGGCGATGAAGAAGTTTAAAAGTGCCCGGACAAGTGTGACATACGAAGGAAGAACAAGATGCTCGTCAACCCCAAATAGTGGCGAGAAGGTTCAGCAAGCTCCAGAGATGTTAATGGTGAGCAGGCGAGTTATCTTTGATGAGGTAGCATGTTTTCTGCAGATTCTGTTCACTGCTCTTTGTCCTTCATATTGGCTTTTCTTCTTCAGACCAGTTCAATAGATATCATATCCTCAGGGTGAAATGGAGTCATTGCCAAGGCGACGTATCTCTTGCATACAAACAAAATCAAAAATTTTCTAGCTACATTGCTCTAGAATGAGATTTATTCTGAAATCATCTAATCCTGACAAGACAATGATTTCTCCTATTTTCGACGTGAAAAACGTTTTAAGTTGAATTGATTTTTCAGTTGATTTTCAGCTTTGATAGACAAGATGGCTGACTGCACATTTCCTTACAAGTAACAGATTTTTCTAACTCGGCTGGTGTAGCCCCCAGTATTAAAGTTTGCTCTTTTAATCAAATTAATTAGCTGATGAGAGCAATGTCATTTAATTAGCGTTGAATTTAACCTCTGCAGTATTTTCTACGAATGGTGAGAGAAGCAAAGACGTGCATAAAAACGAACTCGTGATAAATTCAGATGTGCGAACATATCAATCTTAACATTATGAAACTTTCTACCTCATAAATTTTTAAATTACTCTAAGCGAACGAGTAGATGTAACAGGAATCATTATTTCCGAATATAATTTTAACAACATAAGATACACGATTGAATACTTTTTTGATAGCAAACTCAGAAAGAAAACTGGATTAACATTTAAATCAGATAGTAAAGGAAAGTGAGAAAGAAGGACTACCTATTAACTGCAAGAAGACAGTATCTATGGTAAT